GTTTTTATTTAGAAACTGAAGAACAATTCTTTCTATGACAAGATTGAATAATATCATTTTTCTGGTTAATATCAAGCTGAATAAAACTCGTGTCGATCGTTTAGAAAGTTTAGTTGATTAGGAATTTTAGTTTAGAAATTTTATTTATTTATCTTGAAAAACGATCAATCAATCCTTTTTAAATAATTTCTTTTGTTAAGCTTCTCGTTTCAGAAATTGAATGGAAAAGTGCTACTACAACGCTACTTAAATTCCAAAATTTTTACCTGCCGTAACGCAATACCAATATTGAGGCACACGTTAAATAAAATTCGTATTCCTTTTGGCCGAGATTAGGAAGCATTCAGGAACCGCTGATGCGCAGCTTACCTGTCCCTCTAATAACAAGAGTACAGTGCGAACGGTACAATGGGCCGTGCTTGTACAGAAGCGGGCATCGTATATAACGACGTGACAATGGTTGCTCACGATACAGTGCAATTTTATGAGAAGTAAGATCGGTTCCGTTTTGCCATCCCTCCGTCCTGGCTTCATGATTTAGGGTATGTTTACCTGCAGTTAAGTACCTTGACGTGTCCATGAAGGCGAGGACGGGCCAATTTGGTGAAAATAAGGGAAACGCCGTAGGGAGGCCACTTCAAACGTCATGAAATCCTAACAGTTTCTGTAAACATGCACGCTTCATCCATCTTTTGGCCCTGCTGGCACGTAATCCGCTCCACATTCACGGTTAAAATCGTGTTCCCCGTGGACGGGGAAAGTTTATCGTACTGACTTTTCGTACTTACCGACTTTTCACCCCCGTTTGTTTGCGGGATACTGCTGCATGTGTTTGCTCTGGATCTACAGATTATATTGGTCTTCCAGTTTTACGCTGCTAATGATAAACAAAGAGACGTTTTAAAGGCATCGTTGTACGAAAATGGACGAAAAAGTATAATTGAAAAAAAGGAAGTATTATTAAAAATATTAAAATTATTTTTAATCCTTTGATATATGAAATTTTTTGGAAATATACATAAATTTTGCTGTAATAATTAATAGAAAGAAAAGAATATATATTAAACGTTTAATTATTAACAATTTTAATAAAAAATTATTACAATTAAGATTGATAATTTGTAGTAAATATTAAAGTTTTATTGGAAATGTTCTAAGAGTTTTGTACTACCAATAATTTTTTTTGTATAATTTGTTCAAAAATTATGATTTTTTTAAATTGTGACAATATGTTAATAATTCTTTGTGTTTTACTTTATACATTTTAAATAATAATGTATTTAAACAAATGATTTGTCAAATCAGATTTTTTAAATATTTTTTATGTATTAAATGATCCATCTTAAAAGAAAACATAAAGAACAGTGAATAAATAACGAAAAATAGAAAAAAGAAATAGATGATCATAAAATATTAATTTTATATTTAAAAAATTTTTAATTTTAAATTTAAAATCATTTAAATCATAATTTTAAATTATAGATATCATTTTCGGACGAGATCTGATTTCAGCCATTTTAAAATCATAAAACATTCCATAATTAATTATTTTCACTTGTGTTATACTTATTACAAATATGTATCAAATGATTTCTCATTTTGATTGAAAAAATTTTTTTTAAGTATTTGATATCGCATTTTTCGAGACTTAATAATACGATTGAGAAGTTTTCTGAAAAAAATGAATTATAAGAAAAATAATAAATAAAGAAAGTTTATAGGAAGTTCCAATTTTCTTTTAAACATTATATCGTTATATCATAATAATATTAATTATAATAAAAAAAAAGATAACAATAATAATTATATTACAAATATTCTATATATTATCAGATGTATAACGATTAATTATAAATTTCAGAAAGTTTCTCAATTGCGAAAATATATCGGTTCAGATGGTCCTCACTTTGATTAAAAATTTTCATTTAAGAGGAATTATACTTATTGATACCATTTATCTCAAAACATTTATTATGCAACAGTCTAATAACCGAGAATAATTTAATTTAATAGGTTGAAAAGTCTTATCTATAGATAATTGTTAATCTTGAAAATTTGATATAAATTTTCGTCGTTATTCTTGTTTTTATTATTTAGCTGATATCAAACAAGTTTAATGTTAATTATAAACCAAAGGCCATAGATATTACATAAAACTGTTGATAGTACTGAAATGTCACGCGAATTAATATAATTGGCACACTTTTAGTTATTTTTCAACATTCATTATAATGATATTTTAGTCATTTGTATTGTAAATACAAAGAGGATATCTTATTATTATTTTCTTAAATCTATTATATTCTTTTATGCTCTGTCATGAAAGATATTAAAATTATATGAAACAATTCAGTCCACAAAAGATACATGTTAATAATGAATATAATTATAAATAAGCAATAATTTACTTAAGTTTAAAGTTTTAATATTTATTAATTACACTTGAAACCTGAGAATACTAATATAATTTCTAAAAATATAATGATTAAAAAAAAAAAATCTAAAACTTTTGTATATTTGATACAAGTTTCTTTCATGGCATATTACAAAGGAAAAATTATAGCCGATTTTCTAAATAGATATTCTTAAATTATTCAATATTAAAATAAATATTTGACGTATCAGTAAAATAATTTAATTATCATTATAGATATTATATTTAAATTTTATATATACATTTAAGCCAACATTACTTTCTTTAATTTATACATTATTCTTTTTTAATGTACATCTACACATAAAGGAATTAATTAATATTCCCCAATTTTAGCACTAGCTAATGTAATTTTTTTTTTAAATTAGAAAAAAAGAATGATTGTAAAGCTATTAAATTTGGTTGATGAATTTCTTTTTTAAATCGATAATTAAAATATTAAAAATAAACGAGTATAAAAAGAAAAATCATAGATGAACACATTACATGTGATCATGGATTTCATTTTGCATACTTTGCCTATTAATTCTCATTTAATTATTAAAAACTCAACTTTAGATTAAATATTAAAACTCATGACATCAAATAAATAAAATAAAGTATATTAAAATGTTATTAAAAAATAGATAGCCTACATGATAACTATATATAATGTTTCTAAAATTATTATTTCCTCTCATTAAGATATAATATTATAAATCATTCACGAATAGATATTTAACTGATTATCAACAAATAATTAACAAATTGATTCTTTTGAAGGAAAAAAAACTTAATGATCAAAAAATAAATACT